TTCGCGTTATTTTGCGTGAAAGTAAGGTCGAGAAAATACGTGGTGTTTCAGCACTACTTGTTTCTTTCTCGCGTGATACATAGTACATAGTGAAGAAAAACATATAATGCTGTAGCAAAAAAGGACGAGTTTTAGGCAGACAAATTCGTATTGTTAAGGCGATGCCGACAAATTCAATACTTCATTGTCCTATATGAAGTAAATTAACACTAAAACTTTCGGTAGTCAGAATATTCATTCCATAGGTCCTTGATACCGTAACCTGGTTTACGGCCAACTGACTGTCGATCTGTGAACAATGATAAAGACTAAACCGAACGCAAAATGTTCACTAAAATTGAGGTCCACGATCCATATGATCGAAGTCGCGGTCCCTTGAACGGATAAGCGGAATTTAAACGGATATTTTAATTTTTGAATGAATTTTACTTGTAGCCTTGAGTGCATGTTCAAACTTTTCTTGATGAAACGGCTCCAAATTTTGTATTTATCTTTTTTTTCTCAAAAACAACTCAGTACGCTTATAAAAAACAAAGCAGTTTCGATTTTCAAATTTCTTGGATCTCTTCCTACAACTACAGTATTGGAGATGAAGATTTTTCTTTTGAGTGGAATTTGTTTTTAAAAATGAAATTTTTAAATGAGGTATTGTACAAGTTTTTCAAAATGGGTAATTTCAAAATCTATTACCATGGCAAAGGTTTTGAATAAAAAAATGCCTATTTTGACAGTATCAAATGTTTCAGAGTATCAGTGTATTGAATATAGACGTTCATGTGTAGAATAATACAGTACGGTATATTTCTTCGCATAGTTCAATGCTTGCATGACCGTTTTTTAAATTCAGAATTTCGAATCGTATTATTAGTGTGAAATGCGTATGAATGTATTGGTTGTGATAACGTATTAGCTAGTTCCATTAATATACACAACAAAATAACTAACAATTAATTAAATTAACTGTTAAACTAAATGTGTTTGTAACCAAGCTATCCCTATCTTCAGAAACAATTTCATGGAATCGTTATGTGCGAGGGAAGCAGATATATGAAATGTGACAGATGAAGCAAACTTGGGCAGGTCGGTATGCCACCTTGCTATCATTAGAGATACTAGTGCTTCCTTCGCTGAACTATCGCCACAACTATTTATAAATTTATCCCACTGAGAGACTAGATAGTCAGTGGATTCATAAAAAAAATGTTTGCAGTTGCCTCACGAACAATGATAGGACCCAGGCGTGCATCTCTTCGCTCGTAGCAAATCAGCGGGAAAGGAAAATATATTCTTACATGTGACAACGTCCCAGAACCTACAGTAATGTCGAAATTGTTCATCTATTCAACTTCTGTTCCTCCGTCTTTCTGTGGGTAACCCACTAAGCACAAACATTCCGTAAACTGAGAAGCTCTGTCAAGATGACGTGTTGCCGTGACGAATGCTCAAAATGATCCGAATGTCTTCCACAGTCCGCTTTCGGTCACTTCTGACAACGGCATCTACCGAAGTAATGACACAATGAGTATATCCTGGCCGACTATTGTCTTCCAATAACATCCGGCCTTCTCAAAATCATTTATTCCACTCATGCACGTGTGACATACTGTGTTCACCCCATACAACAGGCATTCCGGCAAGAATTTAACTTCCTGACACTCCTTGCACTATCAAAAAACACACTACACTTCCTCTTTTCCGGCCTCCAGTGATGTCGGACACTCGCAGACCTCACTTGGAGCTCGTCTAACATACAAATGTCAGTGCTGTGAACGTTCCTGATTCCCAATAGAAAGCACTTCTGTACACACGCCAATTAGTGTTAGAATATATCCTAGAACCTCTCTGACTCCAAATCATTATTTGGAATCTCGCGACTTGATAAGCGTTTGCGGCCTATGGAATGCCAGCGCTAGGGCTCGCCCATTGAGCAGCCGGTGAACAGTGATGGCACCTGACTCCGGGGTATTATTAGGGAGGATAATAATATCGCTTTGTCCGTGGAATTCGCTCTAATAATACGTGCGATCGCGCTCGGGGGAGCCGTGGCGCCACCGCGGCCCCGCGCCCCAAACCCTGGCCGTGATTGCTGCTGGGAGAGGATTGTCACAGAAATAGCAGAGACTTTTTGCAAGTCGTATATTTGAAAGACGTAACACAGGGGGCGGATTCAGAGTAAATTTTTGGGAGGGGAAATTAAAAATGTTTAGGTCGAATATGACAAATATTACAGATTTTTATAAAAAGTCGCAGGTTCATGTTGCGATATGATTTTATTCGTTTTAATGATAAACTGAAAATATTTCTGCTTGAAATTTTCGGAACAAAATATAATTAATAGTTATTGAAAAATTTTAGGGAGGATTTATCTCTCTGTGGATCCATGTCTGCGTAACACGACAATTCTGAAGAGAATTCCACGACATTCAATGACGGGATTTCGATTGACGGGTCCCGTCATTCTACGTGTTCTTTCGCCTACGAAAAAATGTGTTCAAAGCTTTCACTTCAGGTAGTTTTCGCCGCCATCACTAAACGTGAATTCGACATTAATACAAAATAATCACCGAAATAATTAAAAATACAATATCGCAGAATATGGTTAAGATTTACTCAAGTTAATTCCAATGTGTCAGGAATAAACTACGTATTTATTTAAGATTTGGAGGTTATGTGAACATTGAGACTACACTGATTGTCACGAAAAATTAGTTAATTTATCTACTGATCGATATAATTGCTATACATTTTCCATTTTCAATGTAAACAATATAAATATGATGTTGTAAAATTGAGGGTACACATTCTAAGATTATCTAGGAAGCTAGTGTTTTCTTTGCAGATAGAGATACGTACATTACATATTCGTAAGATACGAACAGTTTTTCTGAAAAGCCTTATAAATGTAAATCGTTGTAAAAGCAAAAATAGAGTCATGAGATTCACAGTTGTTCAATAAAAGCGTGTGAGTATTGTTAAAGTTTTTCCGTTCCAGATAGTGCCAAGTTTTGCGTATATTTTCTGTTGTACGAATTGCAAACCCTCATTTTTCTAAAGATACGTTATATCCTATTGACGACAATTATTATGAACTTCAACTGTGGATTTCTCGCCTTGCAAAAAACTCTCTTGTAGATGAGTGGTTCAATATCAGAGCTACCTAACTCACGAAGTCGTGAAGCCCCTTATTCCTGTGAAGTATGGCTCTGAATGATGCTCTATTCGTGCCATACTTCTTTTTCTTTGTGAATGAAGGAATGAATGAATGCATGTATGCATGATTTGGCTCAGACAGGTTGAGGCAATAAACGATTTCTTTATTCACAAGGATTAAAAAGTTTTGTACACATACAACTAATCGTTCAGAGCCATGCTGTAGAGGACGAGTGCCTTCACAACCTAATGAGATAGGTAACACTGGTACTGATCCACTCATATTAGTGGATGTTTATTAGCTGTCGCTGAATTGAAATATCTTAATGAATTTTCAAAATTCAATGGTGGCTTCTAAGCGGCGGAACGAATCATAAAAAATTCGGTGGATATTAGGTGAAATATGTCCGAGTAGTCCGAGTATACGAAGCAGTTTTGAGGTCACGGAATAAATTAAATATTGATATGTAAGTTTGCAGTAAATTGCAATAATATGGAAATGTGCATATATGCGCCGCAAATTGTGTATTGTTCTGATTAAGGACATTCAACTCTGTTAACAAATAAATTGTTTGAAGTGGTAATAAGTGAAAGAAACGATTTTCAGTAATGTTGTTTCGCAGCATAATTTTGATTTGACAGGTATCAAATATCAACACACTAGTGACGTATGTTTAATATATTTTTAACTTATTGTTAGAAGTATCCTGGAATTGGAAATTTCCAAAAAAATCGAAACAAGTTGCATAGACTAAATTCAACGAATTCAAGGAAATCAACAAAGCAAGTGTAACTACATGACCCTGAGGGATACAAACGGGTCTCAAATAACTTTCTGATTCGTAAAAAAAGTCTTAATATTTCAAATTATGTCGGCGCACCTTCAATTTTCTCGTCATAGCCAGGTTTCGGACCAGTGTGCTCTGTGCAGCCTCCCCCCTCCCGTCCCGCGGGCCCCCGCGTGGCCGTTCCACGCGTGACGTGCTCTTAGGCGCGGAGCCAGGCGGGGCGGGCGCCCACGTGCTCTGTAGGAGGAAAAGGGTGGAACTTTCAGTGCGAATATCGTGGGCCCTACAGCCCGTTTTACACGATCGTTTTTTCATCATTTTTCGTCGGCTCATAAAAGTGACGTACGAGACTGGATGTCATTTGTACAAACAAAATGACGCATGCTTCGTCATTTTGTCAGTCCGTCACACTACGGACTTCTTACAGTCCATGCATGACGACTACCGCGAATATTCATTCATAATACGCTTCACATCGAGACCGTATGATCCCACGGAGGATCTCAACCGAAAATGACCAATGAGACTGACTGAGATGGGTCTACGGGCTTTCTCAAGTAGTCGAGTTAGGGAAGTGATATCATTATCAGACGCGGCAACATTAGGAAAATGTTACGACACGGAGTGCTCCAGAAAAGGGAGAAATATGGAGTACTGATGGTTCGTGATGTTCTGGGAGTGCCACGGGTATGGGAAATAGCCGGAATGGTAATATCCAACAACGTAAATACCGACTTAAAAATCTGAATGTTTTACTGTTGACTATTTAATAATACCAGTTAGAGAAAAAATATTTTAGCTGCAATAAATTAACCATGTATCCATATTAGTTGTACTTTTTGAAAAGCGAAAAACGTTGCAATTAGTATTTGGAAGGGCAGTGACTTACATTTTTCGACGAAATTAGACGAATCCTAAAGGACATTTTAGGCAATTTCGTCAAAGCAGGGAAAATTTGAAAATTGGCCATATTAGCAATTTTTACATTATTTTCAGTTTTAAAATAGCTCAGAACTAATAATGTAATGATGAAGTAAGTATATTTTGAACAATTTGTATTGCAGATTCTGCGCGGGTACATACTATTTCCGTTGCGCTGAAAGACCATGATAAGAGATGAACTACATGAGCGAACGATATGATCATAAGAACCTGGACAGCTCTAGTAGTTTTCATATATGTATGGTACGTACTTTCCCAAATAATACGTAATTTTTGTGGCTGATTAAATATAATTATGACACTTATCTAATTGCAGTTTGCCATGTATCGTCTGCAAGAAGAACTACACCATCAAACCCAGAGCGGTGGTCCCGGAGAATTATGTAAAAGGTAGGACATACATGATTGGCACAGCACAGTAATACTTTATTTTACAATGGGGATAATTTATAAGCACAGTACAATCTGTCTAAACCGGAACCTGTATAATCCGAAAACGTGCCTTAACCGGAAAAATTCTCCGGTCCGTGAAGTTAAATGGCATTTTACACAGCATAAAACAGAACCTTTCCATCGCGGAAACGGTTTTCATGTCTTGTAGGAAAAAAATCTTTATAAACGGAAGCAGTTCGTAGCAAACAGTCCGAATACAGCCAATAGGCAGTAAGGTGTGAATTTTTCTACCCGGAAGCTGTCAATGAAGTGTGTTTAATATTCATTTATTGATGATTTCTTCCATAAAAACGTTGTATGTTATTGTATTTTGATAATTATAATAAAGTCATGTAATTTAGAGCTACTATTTTCACAGCAGAAATATTAATATCACAAGTATCATGAAATGGACAATCTTACGCAAAACGGAAACCTTCATAAACCTCAATTTTTTGTCTCCCGATCGATTCCGGCTTAACAATTATTTTATATATTATATATAATAATATATATTATATATATATATATATATCCCTTCGGACTGCGTAATCGAAAGGGAATATGTATAAAATAGTCGCAATCGTGAGCGAGCGCAGTCTGGCAATCATGTGTGTTTATATGTAGATTTGAAAGTATCTGCGCGTGTGCGCGCACATGTCATAAGACGCGAAGACGACAATTGCAGGCAAAGTACTGTTACTCTATCGTTTTGCTATTGAACTTTTGAATTTTTCTTCACTTTTTTCTCTCGTAGAATTATCACCGAGAATTTTATAGGAATTATATCCTCTGGGGAATAAATACCACGAACCGGCTGCTAAGAAATTATGTTTGCTTAGTAATTTCTTAAATATCCTCGATCTAGACTCTAGTTACTATAATATTTCAACTTCGTTATTAATAGCATTTCAGAAAAAATAGTAGAATCTGCTAACATGAAAATAGAGAGAGAATTCAAATACACATGACAGAAAGGCATTTACTCACTTGACCGCGGTATTTACGGTTAGTACAAAAATGGTGACTTCTGTTTCATGTTCCTTACATTTGGATTTCTTTACTTCTTCTTTATATTGCAAAAATAAAATTGTAAAATACGTTTTTTATGTTTTCACTTGTTGCATTGAAGCGTTTATGCTAATGTGTTGAGAGAGCACCACACGGGAACTACATGATTCCCCTTCTTTGACGAGTCTTTCCCCACGAAGTTTGGGGCATACCGGGCTGAAATAATGTTAGAAGTATTACAATTTAAATGGAGTGTAAGTAAATAAAAGAGCAATGGAAAGTAATTTTTTGTTTCTCTATTACAGAAATTCGCCCCCCTTCGCCCAAAGGGCAGCCAGTGACGGTGGACGTCAGCATTTACGTAGTAGACATAAATTCAATAAATGTAGAAGACATGGATTTTCGGTACGTGTATTAATTTTAATCAATATATTAGTAATTGTTTTGATTAGACACAAAACCAGATCAGTTTTGTTTAATACACAAGCGACGCTTCAACCAGATCTCTGGAGTCCTCGGTCCAAGCTTGTAGTCGCGTTTTAACTTTTTATTCTCATTTTTACTCCTCGTTTTCGTATTCCGTGCGGGGGGATCGTCTGTGCTACCAAGGCCAACACGCGTTCCTCCACACCCCAAATAGAAGCCAGCGTTATCTACAAGGCAGCAAGCTCCATCGACACAATTCGTCTGAAAGACGCGAGTAAATTTAAAATTAGATTTATCTTGTTAAATATTTTATTAATTCATTAGTAATGGATAGTTCAAATACTACCATAATCTTTTTCTGGACCTGAAGTTGTTTGAAAAACGTTTCTTGCACTAAATGCAAAAATACAGAATTCTAAATGTTCCTACATTTTGATTAACGTCTTATTAAACGCTACATCTACCGACAGAAGTTCTCCCGAATTACAGAAAATATTTTTGTCATAATAACTAAAATACGTTTAATATAACATTCGTGACATGGAAAACGTCACAACGTATTTATCGCCCATGTTAGTCGGTTTTGCTAATCAATGCTGTTTTCAAGAACATAAAAGCAGCAACGCTCGTAGATGTTATATATGTCAACATAATTATTATGTAATTATTATTACTCTTATGCGCTCGTAGACGTTAATATATGTCAACATAATTATTAAGTTTTCTCTATTGGTATAACTTTGTAAGACTATATATAATTAGTACAAAGAATACGATTGCATTGTATGATGCAGATTCATTAGAAAATTGACTGGGGATTTCCACATTGCAGAAACTCGACGGAATGCGCTTCTTTTCAATTTATCACGCTATCAGAGACAGAAAAACAGAATATACATGGATATTAGTATATATAAGAGCGATAAACTCAGACACCGTGTGACCAATCTCCATGAAAATTGGCATTCCTACGTGTTATTTGGCAGAGAAGGTTTATGTGCTGTTAATTTTGTTGTAACCCCACTAAATGGCGCTGCAGAACAAAATTGCGCTTCATTTTACACATTTCATTGCCACGAGACGATCGAAGCCGACGGCAGATTTGCATCTGCTTTTAATTCATTTATTCAGCAATAGATAGAATACCATCACTCTTATCGTGTTGTCATGTTTTCAGCTGTCAGTTTCAAATGAAACACGTTTTTTTTATTTATTGAAAGTCACATAAGCTATTTTAAGCGGCCGTGTTGAGAACAGCTGACAGCGCGCGGACATTTGTGAGAGAGTACTTGAGTAAACAGTGTTGCTCGGTACGTATCGAGTATTCGCAAACACAGTGTTTTATATATTATTGATCTTTTTTTCTTTTTTACAACGATTGAATATGAAACAACCAGAACAATGCCGGTTATTTTGCTAGTGCTGTAAAAAGATTGGGTTTATTGGAAGTCACATAAGCTATTTTAAGCGGCCGTGTCGTGAACAGCTGACAGCGCGCGGACATTTGTGAGAGAGTACTTGAGTAAACAGTGTTGCTTGGTACGGGTTGACTATTCGCAAACACAGTGTTTTATGTATTATTGATCTTTTTTTTTCTTTTTGACAACGATTGAATATGAAACAACCAGAACAATACCGGTTATTTCGCTAGTGCTGCAAAAAGATTGGGTGCCTGCCTCCTGGCTGTGTGCGCTGGGGTGGGGCACGTGGGGTGAGAGGGTGTGTGGGTGCGCAGAATCGACATGTTCGTGCGGCAGCGCTGGGCGGAGCCCCGACTGCGCATGCCCAACGACATCTTCGAAGAGGGCGATGACTCGGTGACGCTGCCCTCAGAGTTCGTGGACAACCTCTGGCAGCCGGACCCCTACATCCTCAACGCCAAGGTCTCAGGTGAGCATTCGCAGCGCCCTCTCCCTCCCACCGCAAAGGACAATTCAACACAAACGTAGATAAATAATTTGGAGATAAAAATCTTACCTATGTTTTGTTTGAATAGCGCCAAGGTTATAAAATACGGTATGCGTTCAATATTCATTAAAACATTCAAAATTTGCAAACTGCAGAAATTAACGTTTTAGATCATCTACTTTTACGTATTTAAGTGATAGATTTTAATGATATATATTCTGCGATACTCAACTTTAAATGGAGTTATTAAGAATTGTTTCAAAATGTGAGGTGATTTTTCTTAATTTTGAGATCATTCGTGACATTTTCTAAAAAATTGGCTAAAAAATATTTTCATAAAGCTAAATATCTTTTTGTAATAGGGTAATAGGATGTATACTTTATTATTTGACACAAGTGACATTTTCTTTAAAATTTGGAACTTTCTTACATTATTGGTGTTTTAACGAATGCATTTAGGCATCTGATGTGTTGAAATACCTGCTGTCATTCAAATCTTTACAGCAGACGAACAGAAACGTCACCAGCAGTTTGACGGATTGTACAGACACCCTGTGGAACTCTTCAGTGAGAGCTGCCCAGAGCTCAGCGACATTGCGTGTTCAATGTTGATACACTTTTGCCTTTTGAAAAGTTCCTACGATGTGCCAGGGTCATCAACTCGGGAGACCGAGCAGGCCACTCCACAGGCCTACGTCGGCCAATTCAGAGTTGTGGGAATGTTTGTTTCAACACTTGATGCAGCATAGTGTGACGGTGCTGCTCCATATTTCTGTCACCATAGGTCATTAATCTCCGGTGTTACAGACAACAAAGGCTACACAATTCCAAGTAACGTTCTTTAGTGACGGGATTATTGAAAAATAGAGAGCCAATTAACTCATCATAATAAAGATTTTTATCACAAATTAGTAAAAATTACTTTAGTAATTAGTAGTTTACAAATTAGAAGAGCTATTGGGAAGAATATTGTATATTAGAGTTTTCTTCCCGTAAATACACGTAATTGCGTCAGTTGACACTCCCCGAAACAAAAATTGTTGCCTCTTCTGTTCAAATGACATTTTCTTCCAACACAATTTCCCTGCAGCATTTCTAGTCACACGTCTGAAAACTGTATGAATCTATTCGGATCATCGTTAAGCACATTAATAAAACGGTAATAGGAATTAATTTTAGGTTCATCACAGTAATTTGAAATGTTGTGAATGAAATGTTCACCTCTCTGCACATTTCAAACACAACGCCTTTTTTATTTAAAGCTCTCATGTGAAAGTAGAATACCATTCCACAGACTAGCTGCGTTATCACTGTCAAATCACTCCGGAACCTGCCGTTTGCTTTAGCGCGCAAAAACACTACCACTGTTGTCAAATTTCTTGTTTATTCTTGCGACTCTTAACACAGAGTGAAAATTGCCTCCAAATTCTACTACTATCTTCCGTTTCACTTTTGTAGGGAACAAACATCTGAAGTAAGTGCCGCACCAGAGGCAACTATTTTGTATTACACAAACGATTTCTCGTCCGTGGCCGTCCCCCTCACAGATAGTGACGCTAACTCAAAACGGTTTTGTACAGAACTTGAAATACTGCAATCAGTAGCCCGTCATATTCACAATTATGGGCCAACTTGTATTATGAAATCGTTACTAATGGCACTATGCTAATAGCACGAGAAACTGAGTAATATTATTTATTTATTAATTAGGTAATTATCCTCGTCCCATCCTTTCGCGGTAATCCCATCCTTTCGCGTTCTAATCTTTCGAATTCTGGTATTCACCCCCAAATGGTCTCTCCATCGCATCAAAGCCGCGGAAAAGAGACCATGGCTGGGAAAAGAGACTGGGTAATATTGTATCAACAGTGGACTCATTGAAACATTGTGTACATTAAAAATTTGGTCACTAATCTTCACCTCATCATCTTCAAATGTTTCGTCTTCAATTTCATGTTCATCATCTATTCAGATAATCACGAATTTGAACATGTACCAACCTGTAACGGGAGTGGACTGAGTAGGACTTCCTTTGTGATGGGAACACGGAATATACCACCAATGGTTCACGCACAAGGATATGTTTTACAAAAAGCCAACAACTGAATACTAGAATGGAAAATACAAATCCCAATATTCACGATCACATTTAGAAATTGTGAATTTTTCTTGTATGTTTCGGTAACACATTATTATAACAGGCTATAAACAGGATTAGATTACCTATCTAATCTTATTCTCGGTAGTTTACTGACTTGCATTTTTAGTTTACTCTTGTCGGCGTTACAGTACATCTTTGTTACATTCTACAATGCTAGAGATTAATTCCCTAAGACATTAATAATCGCTGATATCCCTGTAAGGAAGTTTCTTCAAAAACTTGAAAGGCTGTCGCAAGAGGTCAACAGTGTTATTCGCAGTGGCTCACTAGGGACGAAGAGTGCAGAACAAACGTAATAACTAAGCTGCGGATGTTTGCCTATATGCCTATTTTTTTCTTTCAATGGAAAACGCAATATTTCAGATTACTTATTCACTCTGAAGTATGAGGAGTATTACAAGCGAATTTTATAGTGCCTACAAATAAATATTTCATTAGTAAATAACAATTTTGAGTATAAATGTATAAATGTTGCCTAATCTCGTATTTATTGATCAAAATGCAATTATCCAGAAGAATGTTTTTTTAATTATACGTTTTGTATTTTTGACCCGCATATTGCAGAGTTATCGAACAGCTATCGCTAAATCTATGTTCCGTTTTAATGCCACCCACAAAGTGCGGGTATTTCGTATTATGAAACGCGCGCAAAAACGCTAGTGGTTATTTTTTACTTTAAATTTTTAAACATTTTGTACTAAAAACGGCTATAATGTTGTTTTTAACTTTCTCCTATGTATCAAAGGTTGTTATACAAAATGGTGCTGATTTCATTTTTCGCGAACACTGTATTTTCGGAAATTGCAAAAATTTAACATCACAAAAGTACGATAATGAGTACAGATATTTTTGCCTTAAATAAAATATGTTCTAAAAATCTGACCTTTAAAAAAGACCATGTGTACATATTTTAATTTAGTGTTTTTTGCGAATTTTTTGTTTAAATATATGCAAATTGTACAAAAAATTCACAAAAACCACTTCAAATATTTGCTTTAATTTTTTTCCACGGGTAGAGCAAAGAGCACTTAAAAGAATGGCAGAGATCTCATTCCAGTTGAAGTCTGAACGTTTGAAATCTGCCAATTTTGAAATATATATTTAGATATAATGCAAGAAAGTTTGTGCTGTTGTACCACTAGTAACAAAATTTGTGTTATGCATAGAGATTAAAACAAATCGTACATATTTTCACTTATGTTTAAATTAAATACGAGAAAATATTTCATACTGTGCAGCATTAGAGAATCAGCCTGTGTTTAAAGAAAATCAAACGGGTAGCTACTGCGATTCGGCCTCTTTTTTCAAATTGCCCAACAATGAAACAAAAGCTTTCTACGAGAATTTATCATAACAATGATGAAACCAAACATTTCATGAAGGTAACTATATTATGTTTACTTCAGAAACTTTCTACTCTAGAACATAAATAAGGATAAGAAAAATGTATAGTGCCTTCTTAAATGCCTATTTTAGCTGCACATTTCTACAGTTTTTCGGGTCTTTAAATCCTCAGCTTAGTAATAACACAATCCAATACACGCATTTTTCAGTCAAAATCTAAACTTTCATGTTTCTTTTAGAGTGTCCGGGTATCTTACAAAACTATCGATACCTCTTTTGGCCGGAGGCTGCACAATTTGTGTTTCTTTTATTTTCAATTTCTGTGTGCATTGTGAATTAATAATATAGATATATTTTTAATTTTTCTAGAGATCGCGGACCTCTTTCATATGGCCTAAGTCTGCATAGTATTATTTAAATTTCTGCACGCATTGTAAACCAGCAATAAAGATAGCACAAACAAAAATTGGAGGATTTTATTTCTTGGAAAGATTTTACCACACAAGCCTTCCGCTGGCTACGATTCTGCCTTAGAAACATTTCCATTTCATAAAATCTTACATGATTGAACGTCTACTTTCAGAAATTGCCAAGCTGCAGCACAAGTTCCTGAGCGTGACGCTGTTCAAGAACAAGACGGTTCGCTATGCGGCCCGCATGCACGCCATCATTGCCTGCCAAATGGAGTTCCAGCTGTACCCCATGGACATACAAGTGTGTCCCATGTACATCGAAAGCTGTAAGTCACCACCGTTCACTTAACCCTCTACTGCCCAAATTTTTATATCGGTGGCAAAAACCTATTTAAATTTTTACAAAACGTTTTACATTACTTCATTAAATACTAGAATTCGTTGAAAAACTATTTTTTAAAAATTAATGTTTTAAAAATGCGTTGTTACTTTGAATTAACATTGAGCAGTTGTGTGGAGAACCTTTTCTTTGAGTAAATATACTTTTGTAAAACGTAAACCATTTTAATTGTTAGAAATACATAGTTTAATCACCCGCCACCGGTCGCAACTAATTACCGAATAAGAATGCTCACGCTCACTCTGGGTCTACAACACCTAGCGGCTTTATTTTTATTTGAAACTAAGAGAATTGTATGAAATATTTTTCATGAATACGTATCATTTTATGTAGTATTAGGAGTGCACTTGTAACAAATAAGCATGGAGAAAAAATATAAAATCATAACTTGAGTGCACATTAGTGTGTGAAAGTGCCAGTGAAGTTTAATATGTTCGCAATCAGTGTAAAAATTATTAAAAAACACAACTTTTTAATAGAAATATATTCTTAAACTATTGCTAGAAGTATACACAAAATAATTTTAATAATATTTATTATGAAGATGGGTAACATCTGCATAATAAATACGTTTTCGGTGCATGAGCAAAGATATATATCTTTGCTCAGGCACCGAAGACAGAACAGAAATGGGCAATGTTCTAGAACTATTGCAGTAAGTATAAAAAAGAATTTTCAATAAGATGTATGATTAAGATATTATATACATCTTTGCTTAGGCACCCAAGACAGCACAGAAATGTGCCCTTAAGAAAGATACTTGAGCCAGAAAGATACTTAAGATTTAGAGCAAAAATAGTATTTCTAATTTTTCCTTATAATTCGTGATAATGGCCGCTTCATTCTATGTCTGAATTTTTTAAAGTTGCAATCCAGTAAAAGTTGACTAACTCTAACACTACTTGGAATGTGAATGAAATGCACTACTGCACCACCGGAGAACATTTCTGACAAGACACAGGTTCTTCACAAACAGTTTCATATAAACTTGGACGTTTTTGATGCAATTAGAAATTTAAAAAAAATTAACGCTGTTTCTGAATGGTTCATCTTAATGAAAAACATTTTTATTACAACTTTTAAAATGTATACGAGCTTTCCGGCTGGTCAGAATGCGGTACTTTTGCTGATGTGGTCACAGAGGTGTGAGTTACAACTGTGGGATACAGCTCGTGAAAGTTCAAGCGAGGCTGGAAGTGTGATGTGGGCGTGGTCGTGTGTGGCAGTCTCGTTCAACAACCAGAAGCTCCGGCTGCGCTGGGGCGAGGACGCGGTGACGGTGAACCCCGAGCTGAAGCTGCTGCAGTACAACGTGGGGCAGCCGCTCCAGATGGAGGAGACGACCGGCTACATGCTGGAGAGGGAAGGTGAGTGATCGCCACAGACGCTCCCCACACTCGCAGAGCAATGCCTGTCCGGGGCGGCTGGGGGCATTAAAACATTATTTTCTGTCTAATCCTTTCGTATCCCTACTCAGTATTTGAGTAACTCCTCGAGTGTTCGGATGTGCGATTACGTCACTCACGGCTAGACCTCTTCCCATGCACCAATCGAGACATACAAGGGGTCATTCGAGGAGTCTTTGTTTCCTGATAGAGAATTGAAATTTGTTTTCAGATCTGGCCAAAAATTTCAAAGAAATTTCCAAAAACTTTTTTTGCGTGTTTTGGCGCTGCCATCTTCGTGATGATGCCGGGAATTAAAGAAATGCTATCTAAATCGATCTAAGTAGATGACTTTGATTAAACGCCAGTACCCAAAGATAGTTTTTGCTCAATACGCCATAATTTTCTTTCACGACGTTCGCAACACTGATGTTGGTATCTTTAAGTGAACAAGTGAAGTTTTCACCAAAATTCATATTCCCGATTTGACAGATGTTGCAGCCTCTATAATTTTTTTGAAAATTATATTTTACTTTTTGAGGATATTTCATAAGAAGCTTCGACAGTTTAAATTTTTCTCAAAAACTTCTAAAAAACTTTGTTAATTTTTTTATGAATAGTGCAAAGTATGCCTGTAAAAAGAAGCAGGTCAAACATATCGTTGAATTCCGAAAATCGTGGAATTTCGAAAATAACTACATTAAAAATTTTCTTAGAAATACTGAACATAGAGTTTGTTTTTTATGTTTTGGTAAATTAGTGCTTTCAATAAGGTAGTGTACATTTTTTCCAAAATATAAATTTTCGCGCAATTTTGACCGAAATTATATGCTACATTAAAAGAAATTGGTGCAGTTTTTTTTTTTGAAAACACTAAATAAAATGTCATCAACGCAATTTTTGACGCAATATTGTAATTTTTATAAAACAACCAAAACTATTCTTTAAATGTATTTGGCATTTAGTATTGGACATTATTGCATTTGTGAGTTCAAGTACTTCAAATTATTTGTTTTGAAGTTTCTCAACAATCAACAGTTTTCTGTTAAAATGAGCTCAAATTTGCGAATTATCAGAAATGCTGATACACATTTTCTAAAGAACAGCTCCAAATGTTTCAATGAAAATTTCCATATAGCCCTAAGACTGCTTTTTACACTTCTATGCATTCCGTAATTGTAGAATTGAGATATGACTCTAAAGACATTTCAATTCTACAATATTAATAAATGAAAAATCTCAAAATTGTGAACAAGTGTATTTTAGATACCAATGGGAAGAGAATGAGGCAATACCGAACTGCTAGCCGAGAATAAAAACGTTAGAAGAAATACACGTGAGAGAAAATCTATGCCGTTCTGTAGTACCACTTGTGTGTATTTTGCGTATTGATTTGAATTTATATCCCCTATTAGGGATCTCGAAAGTTTGTTCATGATAAAGGCCATCTAAGTAATTAATACAGCCGTTTTTACTGACTCGCATACTTATGAATAAAATATAGAGACAGTATGAAACAATACAGAGGCAGTTTTGTAAGGCTAAGGAAAATCAATTTCGAGATTTCAACGGGAGATTTTTCGGGATTCCCTGATACAGTAAGAGATTGTGATTTTGTGAGACTGTGATTTTTGAAGGCCCGTCACTGACCGTCCGTCTGTTCGTCTCCTTCCGGACTCGTTCGTCTCTGTCAGGTCCGTCCGTGTCTGTTCATCAATCCATCCGTCCGTCTCCGTTCGTATAGTAGTAGATAGTCGATGTCATTCTTTAGTCCTACTAGTTACTGAATTAGTCAGAGGGCAGCCGTGCGTGTGGTATGAATGCGCTGACTGTTAATGAAGCTCGTTGCGCGTTCTTTGCGAATATATTTTCCCAGCTGAGGGAATGGCACAAGAGTCTGGGAAAACGCTTCCTGTAGTATTCAGACGATTTTACCGCAGAAAAAAAGTCTCTAAATTAATAAGCAAACGACATCCACGAGATTCCTGCTGACCTTTTTTTACATATCTTGGACTATTACCATGGCCTTGCCCATTTGCCTCCAAATCTGTAGTTTTTGTCAAAACTGATCTACTAATGACTGTTACCATATTTTCATGGATTACATATGTTTGTAATTACAACACACATTGTCTATATCATAATATACCATTACAAACCAATATTGCTAGAAGACAAACAATCAAATAATTTGCAGTGACAAAGGCATTTCTTCTTTACAACTGTCTCTGCACTTTAGAGACTATACTGACCATCAAAAACTTTTAGTCCAGTTTCTCCTCACTCATTGCACAAATGCCGATATAGCCCCTTGTTTTGCTTCAGACCATTGGTGTAGATTAAACTTAGAAACGTTTTATTAGGCTTCCCTATTTCTAGCTGTGGTGTGCTAGAGCTGGGGTGTTTTTGCCTATTCATGGGCAATACTACGAAACCAATTCCGTATTTCTTTCATGTAAAAAAAAAGGTGCCTTGGTAAAAGTGGATAAATCCAGTTTCTAAATTTAGAAAAAAATCCTCTATCATGTGATGTAGCCAGAAGCAGTTTTTGTGGGAACTTGATATCGAAAAATCGATTGGCGGCAAAATGTCCGTCCCTCCCTCCGTCCGTCCCTCCCTCCCTCCGTCCGTCCCTCCGTCCGTCCGTCCCTCCGTCCGTCCGTCCCTCCGTCCGTCCGTCCCTCCGTCCGTCCCTCCGTCCGCCCGCCCGTCCCTCCGTCCGCCCGCCCGTCCGCGACCAACGCTAGCGGCTGAACCGTATAGCCGGTTTTCTTCCAAATTGTTATTCTTCGCTACATCGTACTGATGTCGCGACCTCTTGAATTTGAAACCGATATTTTAATTGAGGGGGGCGTACTTTACATGAAGCCTCTGGGACATTTTCCAAATTTTCAAAAAAGTAGGTCCGTTTTGATTTAATTTTTGTCGAATAGTGTGAAAGACGTTTAAGACACTGGTGCAGGTTTCATTTTCGCTTTTTCTTCTTCTTCTTCCTCTTAGGGCGCAACAGTCTATAAGTGAACTTGGACCTCCTTCAGGATTTTCTTCCATGTTTCTCTTTCCCGTGACTTCCTCCTCCAATTTTTTCACTCCTATGCGTTTTAGGTCTTCCTGAACACCATGCAGCCATCATAGGGGTGGTCTTTCGACTCTTCGGGCGCCAACAGGTCGCGTAAAAGTTAATTCTTTACACGCAGTTGATTTCGACAAGCGTCAGACATGGCCGAGCCATCACAGTCTAGCCAGTTTGGTTTCTTTAATACTATTGTTGCAATTGTATAACTAATATCTTTCTGTTGGATCGGATTCTCCATTAACCACCAAAACCCCAATTGTTCTAAAATTACAAAAGTTCAAAAAATGTTCGAAGTCTTCCGACAACTAAAATACTAAAGACATATTTTCTCCCTTAAAAGTCTGTTCCTGAAAAGGTGGATTTTAAGATGTACATTTTTTCGAAAAATTGTACTTTTCGTGGTATTTCGGGTGAAACTACGGGCGACAAAATACGTGCTGTTTTAACACCACTAGTTTAATTTTTTTAGAAGTAAGAAGCGTTTGTATGGAAACGCGAAAATTAATTCTACACAGTCGTTCAGATTGAGTTGAGTTGGTTTAAACCCAACTGCTGGAAGCTCCGCCGGCGAGCCGCGCCGCCGGGCCCCG